AGAGGAGGAGCCAGAGGAGGAGGCAGTGGAGGAGGGGCCCACACATCCTGTACATCCACTTGACTGCCAGCTGAGGTTCCCGCCACATCAGTTCCAGTTGCAGCCACCAAGCTCCAGACCCAGACCTAGAAGCTGCACCTACACGGAGCAAAAATTGATGTATCCACAAGGAATTGTCCAAGTAAATGCAGGAATTGGCTTAAATTTAAAATTAAAATTAAATATTGAAGCTAACTTGTTGCTTTAAAAATGGAATTTGTAAGGCTTTCAGTTTGTACTTAATTAAAATTTAAGGTGTAACTTTAAGTCAGACAGCGGGGAAACCAGATGCAACGACCAGGCCAGAGACCAGAATAGCGCAGGTCAGGATGCGGCTGGGTTAAGTTGGTTTAGACCAGGATGAGGGGCAGGAGGAGCAGCAGTAAGAGGAGGAGCAGCAGCAGGAGGAGAAGGAGCAGGAGGAGCAGGAGGAGCAGCAGCATCCATCGGTTCCACACTAAAATGTAGGCGGCGAGAAGCTGATGCTGCTGATGCATGTGGCTACGCTTCACATGTGGCGGAAAATTTAAGGAAAATGTGTGAGGAAAATGTGAGAACTAATTATAAAAACAACTGGGATTAAATACCCAAAAAAAAAGTACTTGAAAAAAGATTTATTTAATTTAATAAGCTAAATAAATACATGTCTTTCCTTTTTTATTGTGGGGTAAGCTTAACTTAGCCCCACTGTGCCAGGTGGGTGTGTGTGTGTGTGCCCCGCCCCCTCCGAGTGTGTGTGTGTGTGCGCTTGGCATTCTATTCACAGTCTGGTTAGCCCAGCGGCATATCTAATTATTTGCCCACAGAGTCATCAGCGAAACACTGCCTCCCACAAAATCCACCATTTCGTCCTGCGCTCCTTTGTGCACCTGTAGTCTAGCCTCTGTGAGTGTGTGTGTGTGTGTGTGTGTGCCTCATTATGCTGGAAAATATATAGAAAACGAATTTTCTAGTTTGCCAGCACACGGTACGCGCTATTTTATAATATCTCTCTCTCTCTGTATTTTTTTTGCCCCCTAGTTTAGCTTAGTAATTACATATTTGCACTGTTATTACCCGTGCATCGTGGTCGCCCTTTTTGAGATCCTTTATTTATCTGTTGGCAGCCTCCTCTGCATTACATAATTACGCGAATGTGAATATAAAAGTGCGTAATGGCTGCGGGGCATATATGTTTATGTATATGCCATAATGGCTTTCAAGGACAGCAGCAGCAGCAGCAGGAAGCCAGGATTAGCTGGCCAAGAGAGGGGGAGAGGTTCCAGGATCAGGATACAGCAAAACAGCTGCAGGATTCTACACGAATCGAAATACAGCGAAATGGGTTTTAAAAGTCAAAAGTTTAAGTCGGCTTAGAGAGAGGATTTGAAATTCTATAATTAAATACAAGAAATGCTTAGAAAAATACATATATTTTATATGATATTTTATATATTACTGTGACACATTTAAAAGTAACTTCTTCTGCTCTTCCCTCTTAATTTAAGGCTCAGTGCCTGGGTCTGTGTCCTGTGGACATGTGAGGCCCAATATTAACCTGAACTGGAATTCGTAGATGGAATTGCTACAATGTCGATAAAAGAGCAATCTAACCGCTGCCCGGAGCAACGATTCGGATTCGGTTTCGATTAGTTCCCTTTTCCTTTTCCATTCCCAATCTCGTTGTCGTCCCCCCTGAAAAGTAGGCAACACTGCACACTGCATTTGAAAGGCCCAACCGGATCGTCAATTTCAATGGGCGAGGCAGAGAGAGGAAGAGAGAGGGAGAGTGTGAGAGAGAAGAGGGACAGGTCGCCACTACTGGACACTGGTGGGTCAGTGGTTCAGTGTCCCTGCTCCTGCTCCTGCTCCTGTCCTGCTCCTGTCAACGGTCCGTCGCTGTTGTTGTTTGGCTTGTGACACGTGGATTGCCGAGAGATTTCGCTGCTTGTTAGCTGTTTGCATTCCTGTGTTTTTTGCCCTGTCGCACTCGTTAAACATTCGTTGGCCATTCCCTTTCCCAGTGACTTTGGCTCTCCTTTAACCTATCCTTGTTTTTTGTTTTTCTGGCAGGACTATCAATGCTAAAGTCAGTTGTAGGTCTTCAATCTGCAAGACCGCGAATGGAAATGATTTTATTTACATAAATTAAATGAAATTCAGACATTTGCATGGCCTTAAATTAAATTTAAAAGGTTTTGGATTATTCAAAGGATGTTATTTTATAAGAAATTTTAAATAAAATATATAAAGGATTCAAAAATACTAAAGAAACCCATTTCAATGTTCTGGCATACTCTTATTTATCATTTATTTACCTAAGAAAATAATTCCGAACATAAATCAAACAATTTTTAAGCCTTTAACCTCTGCAATAATTATTTTCCCTTATATGTATCAAATATATTTTTCCTGCTCAGTTAACACAGTTTCTACATCCAATTAAATATTTAAGGCTTCGCAGCCGAAAGTCGCTTTTGACTTTAATCCATTTGTGTATTTCAAAATGCATTAATAAATGATATTATTTACTGTGTTTGCAGATGGAATTACATGTGCAATATGGACAAGAGTGCCGTCATTCAGGCCAGGGATTTATCAGTTCGTCGACTGGGGAACGATGACCTCAATTCCGAACTGAACTGAAATTTGTTTGCAGTTGTAATTATAATATAGTTTGCTTGCACAATTATCTATGCTATAATTGTTATTGTGTTTACCCATTAGTTGTAATATATCCAAGGATATATTATGTATTTTTTAATATATTTTAGGGGTTTGTCCAAAGGATTTCGTTGGCTCAACGCATTGCGCAATTGTCAAGTGTCCACCGTAATTAATAGCGAGCTGCTGCGAATGCAATAAATAATCGATACTCACTTAATTCCGCCTTCTGTTCTGTGTGATTCAGTAACTTCTTTTTATTTTTTTCATTTGCCTTGACTCGATTTTAATTAATTTTTTATGGACTCTGTGCTCGTGTGTGTGTGTGTTGTTAGTTGTAAATATCCGGCAGGGCTCCGCTGTTTTCCTGTTTTCCCCCAGCTTTCCCTGCTTTCTCTTGCTTAAAAAGGAGCACAAAGGCAGCCGGAATGATGAATGACTGCCAAATGAACATGTTTGAGTGGGAAGTCGGCAGAGATGAGCTCGGAGAGATAGAGTCGGAAATGTACAATATAATCGAAGCGATTTCATTCGAGGCATGCACACACACAAAACACAAACACACACGCACTCCCTGCCCCCAGTAAAAAGGGGTATTCCCCTTCAAACTCAAGCTGCATTCCACAGTGCGGCTGCCATATAAGCTCCATTTTTGTAATTCTAAATTTACACTTCAGGTTCTCAAGGCTCTTCAAGCTCATATTTAGTTTAAAGGACACAAAATCGTGATTTTAGAAAACTCATAACTTGGGCAAAAAAGCCTTGATTTTAATTTGGAAAGCTGTCCTGTGCTAGTTTTTATTAGGTTAAAAAATCTGCATACTCAATTTAGAATTTTTTGAAACTCAAATTTTTATCAATTTTTCATAATTTAATTTTCATAATTTAAGCCCTTATAAAAATGTGAAATTTCTGAAAAAATTAAATCTTTGTCGGAGATAGCTAAATCGATTCAGTTTTTCATGCTGATCAAGAATATATATGATTTATAGGGTCGGAAATGACTCCTTCTGACTAAAAGTATAATTCCATTTTTTTACTCGGTTTTTTTGTTTTTTTTATATGAAAATTTTACCGACAAATTCAAAATTTAAAAACTCATAAATAAGCCAAAAATGCATTAATTTTAATTCGGAAAGCTGTTCTGTGCTAGTTTTTGTTAGGTTAACAAATCTGCATACACAGTTTAAAATTTTATGATATTCAGATTTTTATCAATTTTTCAATATTTAATTTTCCCAATTTTAACCGATATAAAATGATGCAAATTTTGAACATTTTAAATCTTTGTTGGAGATGACTAAATGGACTCAGCTTTTCATACTGATCAAGAATATATATGATTTATAGGGTCGGAAATGATTCCTTCACTTTTTTCAAACTTTTGAATAAATATATAAGACCCTGCAAGGTTAAAATAAAATGATAGGTTTTTTTTTAATCCAAGTTGGTTTCTTTAAATTTATATAATTACTTATATTTTTATAAGACTCATTTAGAGAAATAAGATACGTTCATTCAATTTTTAACGGAAATAAGATAACGATGTGATTCAAATTGAATGGGAACTGGTCAGCTGATATTGAAGATATCGATAAGTACCCTCTATCGACCAAAAGCTTAAATATCGCTTAAGCATCGCCTAAATATCGCCTAAGCATCGAAGCTTTCGATAATCGTAAAATGATCTCTCACGGAAGCGGTTGGTTTGCTCTCGTTTCGCTGACCAAAATCGGATGAACAAGAACTAAAGAAAGAAAAAAGAGACTGACTCAACCGCATGGAGATCGATCGAATTAAATTAAAGCCCGGAAAACGTACTGCGGAAAATCAGTGGCAGGTGCCAAAAGTGAAGTGAAGTAGAAAGTGTAAGTGAGAAGTGTAAGTGAAAAGTGTAAGTGAAAAGTGTAAGTGTAAGGCCTGAAAAGCCCCAAAATGGCATTTTTTTTTCTTTTTTTTTTGTTCTAAAGCATAAATTGCGAAAATATATGTACAAAAGTACATAAATTGCCAAGATCAAAGCGTTGCTAGTTAAGTTGCTAGTAAATTTTGTTGTTTTTTTTATATGTGAATGTGAAAAGAAGAAAGATCAAATGTAAAAAGGTACCGCAAATATTCTTTCTTATCTCCTCTCAATCGTTTCACTACACTCGAAAAAATATTCGAGGTCATAAGTATTAAAAAAATAACATGAAGGGAGAGATATGGAAGAAGCGGTTAAAGTGTATAATAATAAGTGTGCTACACTCGGAAAAAATAACAAATAAAAATATAAATAATAAAAATAATCGTGGTTATAATTATCAAAAAAATAAAAATAAAATATAAAAGTGTGCCTGCCCTTCAATTAATTCGAAGACTAAGACTTGCTCCTCCTTTTTTTGCGTGTAAGCTTTGCCAGCTAATTATAATCGCCGTTGGGATCTGTACCAAGAGCAACTGTAAACGAGTGGAAGGTAAGGTAAGTGAGACAAAAATATATTCTTGTTCCTCTTGTTTCTAGTCTTTCTTCTTTGACTTTACGCCCGCATTTATTTCTTATCTCGATTTGCAATCTCGTGGTTGTCATCCAGAAAGCTTCTGCTGCCGCGTTTTAGAGTTGTTCATCTTGGCAATTTGTAAAACGTAATTTAAATTGCATTTAGCATGCACTTCAAGCTTTATTTTACTTAATAATACTGGAAGTAGTATTATTATGACTTTTTAAGTTAAAATATAATTATTTTCTGCAGTTTTAAATATAAAATTAAATTGATTTATTATATGTTAATCATATAATGTATATTTAGCCTTTTCTTTTACTGAAATGAACATAAAACCTATAATGGTTGCTAGTTATCGATGTCCCACTGTATCTGATTATTGATGAAGCTCCACTGACAGCCAAAACGAACGGCAACAAAGCAGCAACTTTCGGGTTACCTGTACCAGGATTAGGCATCTGTCTCAGTCTCGTCATCTGTCTACCTTCCCATCGCCTCAGAGATGCTGGCCGCCTTCGTCTCCGTCTTAGCCTTGGTCTGTGTGTCCCTGCCTGTGTATATGTTTCATCTTCCAGCTGTCATTCGTTCACTCACTCACTCACTCACCGAGAATTGATGGCATTTGCCAAAAATACTGATGACACGCATACACGCACATATACACTGGCAGGCACGCACACACACACACACACACTGGCAAGCGGAATGAGAACTTTTGTTGCATACTTAGTAGGGCAGGACAATGCGCCACTGATTGAATTGCATGTAAATTAACTTGCTGATCCGATTAGGGACGAGACGACGGAGGCCAACAACAGAAATAATATATCCAATGCAGAGCGAACTATTTACACAGAGAGAAAATATCCCTCTAAAGAGGTTAATCATATATATTTGAAGCATTTTATAGCATATTATTTATTTATTATTTTTAATATGGTTTCATTTGTTATTGACCTACATATATAACATATATTACTTATCATTTATTATACATTGTTTGAAATTTACTTATTTATATAAGAAATTATTAGGGGACTCTTATTAAAATTCATAAATTGATGAATATATATTTATTCACCAGTTGAATCTGACGGCGGGTTCATTTGACTTGAATTTATGGGTACTGATTATATCAATTGATGAGTTCTTTCCATCATTTATTATTACTTTTTACTAATTATTGAAGAATATATTGGTATTGGTTTATTAACTCACTTATTGGACAATTCTTAAGCGAATTCTTACCCATTTATTATTTCGTGTTTATTGTCTTATTGGTGAATACAAGTTGGGGAGTATATTTTTTGACTGGGTAATAATATTATTGATTTATAATTGACTTACCAATTAATAAAGAATTTATTTATCAGACTTAATGCTGGCCAATTCATTGGTGAGTTTAAGTTATTGAGTTCATTTGTTGGTGAACTCTTCAATGAATTTGGATGCATTCATCAATTAATTAATGAAGAATATGAATACGAATTCGGTTCGTTAAGTCTTTAGTAGTCCCTAGGATTTAATCTTGTATTTTTTTTTAATAAACTAAAACTAAGATGATTTTTCTCAGCGTTTCGTCAGTTCTAAAAAACCGCATGAACTGCGCCAGCAGGTAAATGGCGAACGAACTCGCACACTGCCGCAGATACGCATGAAGGAGCTAAGTACACACACACACCCACGCACACACACACACACACGCAAACACACAGCACACCCACACTCATGGCCACCGCCTCGGGCAATTTCATTTGCTGCTGAGCTCTCACACAATTGAAATTTTTGTTGCATACTTTCGAGCAATTTGTTTGCAACTCAAGTCGGCCGAATACACACACACACGCACACACACACACACTCACAAAAAACAGACGGGGAAAATCCATCCATTCCGCTCGGCTCTTTACAGAAATCTCCCACAGATTCCACACTGCCTTCATCCTTATTCTCTTCTATTTTGCCCCCGAAAAACTTGGACTCGATTTATTTTGATGCACTTTTTATTTTCTGGCAGGGATTTTTCTTCTTTCTATTTTCTTGCTTTTCTTTTTTGTGTTGAGAACAGAACGGAAGGGAGGGAGGGAGGATGGTGGGGGAGTGGATTTGATGGTCGACCGAGGGATTGGAAAAAACTTGTGCATACTTTTCGTGGCATATTTTCATTTTGCCCCTTGTTCGTTATGAAAGCGGAGCTTGGTTCAAAGAGCTGCGACCACAATTTGGCTCTATCCACCAACTGCCATTCACCCTTCAGCCACTCCCTCTCAGCCCGGATATATATATATATATATATATATACTATATATTTTAGGGAGGGGGCTATCTCTTGACCAGCGCCCGAAAAGAAAGCAGGAAAAACTGTAGACGAACTTATTTATTTTCATACTTAGAGCTTTGGTTTTGGCTTTGGTTTTGGTTCCTCTTTTTTTCCCTCCGCTTACTTTCCTTTGAGGATCTGCGCGTTTTTCGCGAAAAACAAAACAAAAGCTGACGGGAAATATTTAATTAAAAACAAGCAAAAAAAAGAAAAGAAAAGAAAAAACTGCTGCCAGCAGTTGCTCACTTCTCTTGATAAAATCATTAAAGGGGGACAAGAGTCCTAGGAAAATCGAAGGGGAGTATCGTCATGTCACATACAACATATTATTTATGCACATAACAATGATGCAGGCTGATTCATTAACATAATCGCCAATTCATAATCTGCCCTGCTCTGGGTGGGATAATAATAAAGTCTAAGGGTGGCAGAAAAATAAAATAAAATTAATGAAATGCGTCGCCTTCTTAGAAGCATCCCATAATCCTGGGGCAGCTTTCAATTCCTCACAAACTCACATTGGAAAACTGCTTTCAGAAAAGCCGAATTTCAAGACTGAATTTCAAGGCGAAGTTCTTTAAAATGAATTATTTTGTTTGTTATTTTTTGATTTCAAAACCACCTACATATATGCCTTCCCTAAAATCAATGGGGGGAAAGGAAAACATTCTTTATATATGGTTTAATCCTGGCTTGAATGGCATTTAGGATTACCCTCCAGCTGTCGTCCTTCCGTATCATTTGAGCCACTTCCCAATGGCTCATTTTTCGCTCCACACGATTCGGTGTGGTTTTTCCCAGGGATTTCTTTCACCTTTTTCTTCTCCTTTGAACTTCGCCTGCATCAATTATACAGATTGCGTATATAGTATATATACTACGGGATAGTAACTGTTAGCCCCGGGATAGTCGCATAATCAGTGCCAAATGGCACAGGACACACAGGACACACAGCACACAGATGTGGACACTGGGACAAACTCATAAAATTCATGAAGGGAAGGCTTCCCAAGCCCCAAAACCCCAAACGGACTTTTCTGGAGACCAACTGGCTTACGGTACATTTGGCATTTTCCGCAAAAAGGGACAAACTTGCCCCGATTTTCACACTTTACGCAAATATATATATGTATTTAGTATATTTGTATAATCCGGGGACCAAATGAGATGGAATTGTTTTGTTCGGACACTTGATTTTCATTTTGTAGTTAACAAATTCATAAAACGAATTCCTTTCCATGTTTTCATCTGGCTGACCGCACCGAACTCATTTCCAAGTCAGAAATTACAACGCCAAAAACCAAACCAAACCAAAAAAAAAAAACAAGTGAAAGTGAAGGGGTGAAAAATGGGCAGGGTGCTCTTTGGAAAAAAACAAGACAGGCTGAAAAAAAACAAGGAAAATCCGCAGGGGGGCTCCTTCGAAAAATATTATGCAGGTTTTATCCCATTTTTAGCCGCCCCCAAAAATGGTTTAGCCAAAACAAGCAACACACGCAAAAAACAGGCAACAAGAAGGCCAAAAAGAAATACAAACAAAAAACGGTGACAGCGGTGATAACATACACACTCCAAATAAACAAAAAAATAAGAAGAAAAACGAGGGAAAATGGGGAAAAATATTAAAAAAAAAGGGAAAAGGGAGAAAACAAGGAGAAAAAATAGAAAAGCAGGAAAACGGAACAAAGCATTCTGAATTTGAGGAACAATGTGGTGTATTTTTTCGGTTGCTGTTGTTGTTGGCAGAAGGCGTGAAGGAATCAAGCGAATATATTAACACATTGAATGCCCTCTCACGATTGTTCCCTTTAAGAGGATACTGACTCAAATTGACTTGATTTAATCTAAGCATTCAAATCGAATAAATATCGAATCAAATCGATCAAGAGTTCCATTTCGGCCATTTATAAACACGAAATTAATCTCATTTGCATTAAATGGTATCAACTTTTGTAGAAAAAATAGTGTAGGGGAGTGGATTTGTTTAAAATAAGTATAGTTAAACTGATTGAAATTAGGAGATATTTAATAATTTGAATAAATTCCTCAAAAATGATCTATAATATATAATATTTTAAGATTTAACAAATCATAGGGAACAAATTTAAGGACTGTTCTCCTTTTAAGAGCGGTTAGGTGTAGGAAAAGTCGAGAAAAAGTGGCTTCTGTTGCTCTCAAACTCCAAATTGCTAACCGCCGTTGTGCGTTTTGTGGCGGTCAGTGTTCAGTTTTCCACATTTCCGAGGTTCGTCCAGGTGAAACTTGCGGCGCCACTGGCAACGGGAAAATTCCAGGAAAATGCTGCACCGGCAGTCAAGCTGAAATTGTGACACAATTTTTGACGAATGTCAAAAACTGAACCGTAACAAGTGGATGCACACAGCGAAAGGCGAAAGACAAACAAATGAAAGGGACCAGGATGCTGGGATCCTGGGATGCTGGGATCCTGGGATGCTGGGATCCTGGGGTGTGGTGTGAGAGGTGAGGAGGTGGGGTCCAAAAAAGGACCCAACGAATGGCGGTTAATGGAGGCAAGTGCCGTAAACCCGCATCAGCGCAAATGTCATTTGATGGATAAGTTTTCGGGCCAACCTCTGCCCCAGCCTCTACTCCCACTGTCACAGCCACAGCCACAGCCACACCCATTCCTCGTTCTAGTCCTGGTGCCAGTTGTTGTCCCAGAGATGCTCTGGCATCCTGGCATCCTGGCACCGAAACACAGAGATAACTATGTTCCACATTTAATTATTCATGAGGCGACAGAAGTGCCGGAGCGAGACAGACTCTTTTGATTAATGAAGCAGCTGAGACAACATCAGCAATCAAATTAATTTTAGTTACATGAGCGGATTATAAAGAAACAACAACGCAGCGAATGGATTTGTATCCGAATTTTGTTCAGGACTTCGACTAGGGGATGCTCTTTTGGATGGAAATTACAAATGATATTCATTTCGAGCCTTGTAAACAAAATAAAATGAAGTTTTGGTTACAAAATAACCTAGAAAATAATGTTGAAAAATATTTGGTTAAATACTTTGTTAGCCTGCTATTCCCATTTTGATTTTTATGTTCCGCAAAACAAAACAAAAACTAAAGCAGGACGAATGAAGGCAGAAACACACAGAGTAACAGAGAAAAAACCCTGGGAGGGACAGCAACAAATCGCTTTGGGGAACAGAGGCAACGGCGAGCGGACATTTTTCACAACTAAATGAAGTAATTTAAAATAATTATCAATGCTAATTTAATGAGGCCTGGGCCAAGGCGCCGGCTGCCGAGGGCTCTTCCCCGTCTCCGCAGGATATATGTTGGCTTTGCTAAGTTTTCCCTTATGTTTTTTGCGGAGGAAAGGCTATATTTTTTGTTGTTTGTTTTTCTGTTTCATGTTGAAAATGTTGCAATTGAAATGCATTAAGCGCGCGTCTAGACGGCTTTTCCACATTTATTTACAAGTTAACGTTCATACAAATTAGCCAAAGTCAAATTGGCTGGTACTTGAGGGAGGGACAAGGGAGGGGACGAGGGAGGGGACGAGGGAGGACGAGGCCTTTTGCGCCCTCCTCCCCCTCCTTCCATAGAAATGCATTGGGAATCGTTTGCGTCGACAAGTATGCAACATAAATTGTGCAAGCCGCTAACGGTAATTGTAGCGCCGCCAACATGACGTATACGCGATATTTGCCTAGCTGCAAATGAGGCTGCCCCTCTCTCTTTCTCTTCCTCTTTCTCCTGCTCACTTCCGGTGGGCATTTGTGTGTGTGTGTGTGTGTATGTGTTGGCGTGCTCAAGCGCCTGGAAAATGCCGCTAACGATGACGTTAACGTTGCCTTTTACTCGGCCCGTTCTCGCATCCTGGGCGCCTAAAAGCATGCAACGGCAATTTAAATTTTGTGCGCATTTCAATTTGCAAAATGGCGGAATAAACAACAACAACAACATCAACAACAAAGGGAAAAATAAAGACTGAGAAAGAGAGCGAAGGGAAAAGAAGAGAATGCAGCTCGGCAATTAATTGTGCGGTAAGCAGAAGAGTAGAAGAAGGGATAATAAAAGTCGCTGGGAGGTAGGGAAATTAAGAATAAAGTTTATAACAAAATTTCACAAATAAATTAGAATATTAAAGAAATATTTGGAGTTAATTTTAAGATTTATGTTTAAAAGGTAATAAAAATAATAAAGGAAATAAGGTTTTAATATTTTCCTATACATTTTTAAGCGCTTCTCTTTTCAAGCAAATATTCCTCAACAAATATAATTATTTACCATATTTTTCATAAGCACTTCTCTCTCAAAGCAAACATTTCCTTAGCAAATACTATTATTTATAATTATTAACCCCTATATGTGTTAGTCAACTAAGTATTTCCACAAAAAAACCCACTCTACGAAATGAACAAAAAATATAAACATAAATGCCACTAAATAATTAATGTCGCGCTTATTTATTCCCGATATAAATATGTTCTCCCCTTGTTTATATTTGCCCATTATTTTCAAAGCCACACATAGTCACTTTTAAATGCTGTCCATAATTTGTTGAAATTGGTTAAATTTAATTAATAAATGCACAAAAGCTTGCTGGCATTCCAATGAACTCGGTTAATCAACTTGTTTACATTCAATTTAAATTCAATTGGAATTTTAATTTGCGTTATTTTGGAAAGTACATATATTTGGGAAAGCAAGTAATCCTTGAATAAAATTTAGTAGCTCCTTGCAGGATTTACACCAAAAAAGCAACTTGTTTCGATCAGAGATGCTATTGCAATTACAAGGATTCCTTGCTGCCAATAGAAATTCCTTTTTGCAAACGAGACCCAAAGGGAATCTATCTCTATCCGTATCCGTTTCCGTTTCCGTTTCCTGCAGCTGTAGCTATATGTGTGTTTATATATATATATATTTCTGTTGCTAAGTGGCACGCGAGGATCCCCCTTTGCTGACCCGTTGATTGAAACGCTTCGCTAGCGCGTGGCATTTAAACTTTAATGCAATGGGAAAAGTGGTGGGGAAAAGAAGCATTGGGAAAACTGATGGTGGGGCAGAAAGGAGGTTGGAAAATGCGGCGGTGGTGGCCAGTCGGGCAAACAGCAAGGGGAAAGTATAAATTGGACTGCAATGGCACTGGACTGGACTCGCAGTGTGGGCAAGCCGCTTAGAGAAGTGCACAGAGCGGACACAGAACAGCACAGCACGCACATTAAAAGTTCAAATGGCACAAAAATAAAAATCCGCTTACAAAATTCCAAAGAGAGACTCGGACAAACAAAAGACAAAAGGACAAGACTGTGGCAGTTAAAAAGTGGAATAACAGCAGGCCAAAGTAATGCCACGCATCGCGTTGGCCATTAGCCCGGGGAACTATTGTCCATTTTCAACTCTAAATTCACTTTGCTGATCGATAATCAAGCGCCGGAATACAGTAATAGAATAGAATCGTAGAAATCCAGGAACATGATCCAAAAGTAGCCAAAAAATATACAAATTGTCAAGCAGAATATCGATTTATCGTATATACAAATAATACATTTTGATTAGGTTGGTAGCTTCGCTATTATAGCGATTTATCAACACTTTTCTTTTGGAAATTAAACAAACAAAAAGTGCTGGTAAATTACTATAATGTGGTAGCTGCCAACCTAATCAAAAATACTTCATTTTATTGGTTTAACAAAGCAGTCTATGAATTTACAATCAGCTAATGTCAGTTGCTATTTTCACAATATTCACAAACCTGGAGCGAGTTGGAAAGAATTTCTTTACTTTTTGAAGAAAATGTTGGATTACATATTCAATATCCTAATCGTAGGGGACGTGGGTGTGGGAAAGAGCTCCCTACTCAATCGTTTTATGGAGGACCAATTCACTGACAGCTACAACGAGAACACGGGCGTTGAGTTAAAGACTTACCAAGTGGAGATAGCGAAAAAGAGTGTTCTTCTACATATGCTGGACATCCCCGGGGAAGAGCGCTTCCGGGCCATGCTGCAGATTCATTATCCAAAATGTCACGGAGTGATCATTGTCTACGACACCACCTCACTAAGCAGCTTCCACCAGGTGAGCTCCTGGGTGCAGGAACTCCGCGATTACTGCGGCAATGAGGTCAAGCTCATGTTGGTGGGCACCAAGTGCGACGAGATGGAGAAGCGCCAGGTGACCGGGCCTATGGCATTCTTATACGCGGAAGGGCATGGCCTCACCTTCTTCGAGGCATCGGCTAAGAGTGGCAAAAATGTAACGAATATCTTCCACACCTTCGCTGGAGAAGCCTACTATAGCTTGGTGTACAGGAAGGGTAATGGGGATTGCCAGCAGGATGAAGAGGGGAACGAAGGCGATGGCTATGTTCCATCGTCATCGAATTTTTTCATCAAGGAAGATCATGAATATTGCCTGCAGGGTGGCCAGGACAAGGACCAATACGATAGCGATGGCGATGTTCCACCTCCATAGAAATGCTCCAAGAAGGAAGGTAATGAAGTTTGCCAGCTGGGTGGACAGGAGAATGTAAACAAGGACGAAGACCATGACGATAGCGATATTCCATCACCTTTGTTATGTTTCAAGAAAGAAGATGATGGAGATCTCCAGCATGATGAAGAGGACAACTACCAAGTCTATATCGAAGGCCTTGTTTCCTATTAATTTACTAATTTCAAATATAAATCATTAGCAGATAATTTTGCTTTTTTATTAAAATATGCTAGTTCAGCCTCTTTAAGGTGATGTTCTGAAGACATTGATACATGTTTAATGATGTTTTCATCGACGTTATTCCACCTCTGTCTGCTAAAGGGAAAGAAACACTTTAAGCTAGTCTCCTGGACGAGTCCTTGGACTGTGTCAGGCTGACCTTTATGGGGAAACACATGCTGTGGCCATAGCTCTGAATGTGGGGGATGGACGGGGAATGAGGGGTCAAAATGATGCCAAACTAATTACTTGCTAAAAGCGCAAACAAAGGGAAAAGAACGGAAAGGAAAAAAGAAAATAAAAACAATCACAACAATGGGGATGCAAAAGGGCCTGGAGGCTGACACCATATCTCCGATCGCACACTTGACGACCTCTAACCCGGCTCCTGGCAGGACGAAACAATGGGGGAGCCGGCAAGCAGGACTCTCGAGAGCCAATCAACGCAAAAATTGTCCCAAAGTCAACTTGCGCAACATACATCCATGCAGGGGAGGTCCTTTTTTGTCGAGAGGGTTTTACCCTTATGCAAGGATTTTCATTAATTAGTGGCGAACATTTTTGAAATGTGTGTGTGAGTGAGTGTGTATACCCATTACATACAAAGCCTGCATATTGGCCTGAAGCCGATTGACGCTTAATTTAGTTGCGCCATAAATGCTTAATCCGAAAGTGAATTGGCCCAAAGGGAAGTTGGCCTAAACGGTAAAAGACGCTTTTAATGAAAACGTAGATTAGCAAAAATACTTTTCGATTAAGCTGCTTTAATTAATTATTTATAATCTTTGTGCAAGGGACTTTAAAAACTTGAGGGTATTAAAGTAGGTTTCGGTTTTATTATCGAGTCTTTTTTAAGATTTTTGTATAAACAGTTTTTATATCAGCCAAGATCGTAGCTCGGAAAAGCGTCCAAGCTTCACGAGTCTTTATGGCTTCTGGGGGATTGTCCTAGCTCCGGGACTGGGCTTAGCAGCTGATTAGGTCAGCGGCCAAGGAAGGGTCCTTGGTAAACGAACGGGGTCCTTGCAGTTCGATGGCCGTCGTGGTGCTAAGCCAAGGCATTGGGGCTGAGCACGGCTCAGCTGGGGCACTAACCAGGGCGGTCAGGACACGCCCCATGTACACAAGCAAGGACACTCTCATTGTGTGTGTGTGTGTGTGTGGTGTGTGTCCTTATCGAAATCCAGTGCTGTCACTTGTCGGGCACTTCACGGCAGCCAGTGATCTCCCTTGAGTGTGTTGAACATACGCTTCTTATGTGACTCCCTCCAGCAGCAGGTCCCATGTCCTGCGTCCATGTCCTGCTTCCTCTAGCTCCTGCTTCAGCTCCGCTCTTCTGTCTGTGTTTGCTTAGCCCCTGGACTGACCCCTGACCCCTGGCCGGGGCTTATACAACCACTCAGTGACACAAATAAAAGTAAACATGATAAAACCATTGAAACTTTTTCCATTTTCACTTTTGAGTGTGTTTGTATTTTGCTTCACTTTGCTTTTGTCCCTTTTTTTGCAGTACCCTCCCTGACCGGGGTCCGACTTTCTTTCCCCCGAACACAGAGCAATACACTGAAAAGAATTATTTAGCATGGCCGAAAGAGGAGGAGATTACCCCATCGAGTATATATTTCCTTGATAAGCATCAACAGGCGAATCAATTTAGACGTACAGCTTATCCTTAAACGGCTTTATCAATAAGTTGCTCCTTCTCTTTGATATCGCTACCATTTTTTGATTTTTTTTCTTATATATTGTATAGTACTATATTATTTTTTTAGGTGTAGTAGTACACATTCACCCCCCAACCCTCCTCTGGATAGAGAGCTGCATCTCTGTGTGGGAGTTAATCTCAAGTGCAGCCGAGAGCTAAATATTTACCATTGGCGTTGACTCTGCGCCTCTCTACCACCGCAAATACAAACACAATGCCGCCAAATGCTGACCGCCTTTGCCGCCCACCTGACGCCACGCCCCCTCTTAGCCATTTTCGCCATTTCACCGCAGACTTTTCCCGAAGCTCCAAGCTCCAAGACCACCGCCACCGCCACTCGTGTTGACTTCTCGCTTATCATCGATGGAGCTGAGGTCTGTCCATCCAAACATGTATTCAAATGACCGAAGCAACGCTGCTACGCTTTTCTCTATTTTGTACTACCATTTATACACCCCAATTTTCCGCCCCTTTCCGCCCATTTTCCTTCGGCTTTCCACCCACTTTTAGCCACTTTCTAGCCCACTTTGCCTCCCCTTGTTTACGCTTAACTAACAAGCCAAGCTAAAAGTTAGCTAGCTGCAAGCCAAAGCTACTTTCGCTGTCTTTTTTCGTCCTTCTCGTCCTGTTCGTCCTGTTCCTTTGCCACTCAAAAAAAAAAAAAGAAAGAGAGTCCTGCTGGCTTGTTGTTCATAAATTGTTTATGTTGGTGGCTACCCTGGTCCCGGATTGTTTTTAGATTTCAACTCTCCGGCGTGTACATATTTGTGTCAGTCGTTGAACTTGCCCCCCCGAACAGCACTGGCAGACTCTGCATAAAGTGTAATGTAGGCATCACAGAGGACTGGTGGGAAAAGGATTCAGTTTCAGGATATTTTAACGGCTGATTTTCCACCAAATTGTCGTGATAGCTGACTGCATTTCGACGGTTTTCAGGCCACGTGAACTCCTTAATATTTAAGTCTCTCCAGCTTCAATATTTCAGCATCGCTCAGCCTTGACAGCGTTATGAAGTGAGTGTTGTGACTGCAGCAGGTGGTGTGCCTGAGTGTGCGGTGTGTGTTGGAGTGTGTCTTGCTCGCTCCCATCTCCTGGGAAACTGTCAAATGTTTCATGAAGATTTAACTCACTTGTCGCTCCAATGAGGCGCCTTATTATGAGCCGGATGCAGATGGCGGATACGGCAACGGATTAGGGACAGGGTCATGGAGGCCGTAGTCTTATTGTCTGCAAACAATTGGAAGAAATAAAAAGTGCACGTAACGATGTCTTAATTAAGCTTTGGCCGATGGCTTAATATATTTTTTGTGGTAAGCAAAACCCATCATCATGACATGAAATTGGTACATTTTTGTGTTTAACATAAGTTTCAGTGAGTTTGCAGAATCCCAATATATGGGGGTGAAATGTTGGGGTATTGTCTTTTTTTTTGTATAGAAAATTTTAACAAAATCGTTATTCTTACTCGTTTATATTAATATATATATCGTTACTGTATTTATATTGATTATTTTCTGGCCATCTTATAGGAATTATCGTTGATCTTTGTACGCTCTGACTTATTGTTCTTATCGGAAGGAAGTTTAGGAAGCCTACTCGTTGTCTTTACTAGTTATTTTTCTTATTCGTCATTTCGCTCACTGTTCTTCTGCTTGTCGTTTACTCGCTCCTCTCCAATCGTTCTTATTAGCAGGAAGTGCAGGAAACGTATTCGTTGTCTTTGCTAGTTAGTTTTTCTTATTCGTTTTTCTTACTTACTCGTCCATTCGCTTACTCTTTTCTGCTACTCGCTCCTTTCCAAGGATGTTATCTTCCTGTAAATTATTCCTGACCATCTCAGCTAGTAGAGGGCAAGAGTCAACGCTCCTTGCCTATCAATCAGGGGTTAAGCGCGAGCAGAGATGGAACGCCAATGGTTTAACTATGTGTGGGGGGAAAAGTCGCCATCGTCATCGTCATCGTCATCGTCATCGTCATCGTCATCGTCATCGTCATCGTCATCGCTATCGCTGTCGCTGCTCGACGATCATTTACCGAGCAGCTTTTGCCTTTCACTTTTCACACATGCCGCAATTAATTTCCGTTTGATTGTTTGTCTCTGTCCGGGAGCCAGGATTCGGGACTCGTTTTCCTCGTATTTGCTCGCCACACAGCGAATGCGATTTAATTGCTTTGGGGCTGCTGTTGCTTCGACTTGAGCTTTTCCCGCACCCGCTTTTCCGCCACTGCATTTTCCGCTATAAATAAAGCAGCTAAGCGCTCGGTGAGGCATTGCAGGTGACAGTCGGGATGGCAAAGGATGCTGCCACGTCAACAACTTTGCCGTGTGTGCGTTTCATTTGCTCGCGCTTCATTTGTTGCTGCAGAAATAAACTGGCAACGGGGAAAAGGATAATGGAAAATGAGAATCTAGCTCGTACATATGTACATGTGTAGGTACATGAATAGGAAAGTTCAGAGTGTGTTAACCAGTGTTGCCAGGCGACAACAAATCATGCCAAAAATAAAGCTTAAAAGGCAGGAAATCAAGATCAAAGACTGTATTATCATCTTTCTTTACCTCCTTTCATATTACATTTTGCAAGTCTCTGATTTAATGTAAAGCTTCTAAGTTAATGGGTCTAATTCTTAAGCTATAAAGTGGTAGAGAATTAGAGAATTACCATTCTTTGAGCCAATATTTATCGATATTTTTATATGCCAATTTGTTCAACAAATCAATCTTAAAAAACTTGTAACTTTGCCAAAAACGAAGTAATTTCAATTCGGACAGCTGTTCTTTGTTAGTTTTAATTAGGTTAAAAAATCTGCATACTCAATTAAGAATTTTTTGAAACTCTAATTTTATCAATTTTTCAATATTCTATTTTCACAATTTTAACCCTTATAAAATTGTGAAAATTTTGAAAAAATTAAATCTATTTCGAAGATAGCTAAATCGATTCAGCTTTTAATGCTGATCAAGAATATATATGATTTATAGGGTCGGAAATGACTCCTTCCATATTTTTGAAGCTTCTGACTGAAATGCTAATACCATTTTATGATTCGATTTTATCAATATTTTTATATGACAATTTTATCGCTAAATTTAAAATTAAAAAACTCACAACTAAGCCAAAAATGCAGTAAATTCAATTCGGAAACCTGTGTTTTGTTAGTTTTAAGTAGGTTAACAAATCTGCATACTCAGTTTATAATTTTATGAAATTCAAATTTTTATCAATTTTTCAATATTCAATTTTCCAAATTTTAACCCTTATAAAAATGTGAAATTCTGAAAATATTAAATCTTTGTTAGAGATAGCTAAATCGATTCAGATTTTCATGCTGATCACGAATATATATGGTTTATAGGGTCGGAAATGACTCCTTCACTACATTTCATGCTTCTGACTGAAATTATAATACCCTGTAAGGGTATCTCCGTGCAAGGGTGCATAGCTGATTCTGGATCTTAGTTAGATCCCTTCTATAGCATCTGTATACATGATATAATTGTTTTGGTTAAGACTTACCGCAGTTGAGGACATGCTTTTTCGACATTGCTTAATTCCTTTAGGTGTTGAGTGATACTCTTGGTGACTTCAAGTAGGCTTTTCATGGTATCATCGAAGTTACCTTATTGGTGGTTATACACATGTAATTGCATTGGCCACGTCATATTTTTGGCAATCACTATCACTATCACTATTATTATCAGCATCGATGTAAACAGGAGAGAGGCCGCGGACAGAATGAGGCGAGTGCGACTGCAGTGGCTGTATTTATACTTTCCGAGTAAAGGCAAGAGAGCGAGAGAAAAGAGAGAGAGAGAGAGCGCAATAGAGAAATGGATATCTCAAGAGATGGGCAGAGACAGATAGAGAGTAAGGGATCCCTTGAGCTACAGAGAAAGAGGGAGAGAGAGTCGTAGAGAGAGAGAGAGAGAGAGAGAGAGAGAGTGCTAGGCATACATTTACGATCGTTGCTATTTAAGGTATATTCTGATCAAGAATATATATACCAACTCCTGACTAATATCTTCCTTTTAGTTGTTATTATTATTATATTTATAATGTAAGAGTAATGTTTCTCCGTCCTCCGCAAAGAAGGCCTTGCCTCTTGGATCAGCTTGGCCCCGATGCCACTGTCGTTAGAATTTTATGGAATTTATGGTATTCAACACACACAGGCATACACACAAGCGTTTATTTACAAAAAAAAATATTAAAAAAAAACTCTAAAAACAAAAGAAAACCAATCGAACGGGAAAAAATCAAGTCCAGTATTTAGTCCGTTGAATAAAGAGTTCGCTGCCGCGTCATCGCATCATCGGAGGACCAATCCGTGAAAGTGATCCGTAGCCACAGGACGTAGTCGAACCAAGAAAAGGACACGAAAAATTCACAGGTTTAAGTTCAAGGATATACGGGGACTGACCGACATAAAGATAAAGATAAAGAGAGAGACATAGGGATCCGGAGAGAATCGGATCTCATACCAAGTGCCAGGAGCCGGAAACCGGAAGCGGCAGCTGCCTCAAAATCCAAATTTGGAATATCTTTTCCACTTTTCTTTTTGATATTTATTTCTAGTCAGGTAATGGATGTTTTCGTAAAATTACCCTAATTTTGGGATAGAAATTAAACAGATTATATAAAATTAACCTATATCTAGCTAGGATGGTCATCAATCTAAATCCGGCCACTGCCAGCGATTACAATGCGAGTGGCAATGGAGGCGGCGATGGTGTAGGAAATGGCGGAGTTGCCGTTACCGCAAGTGCCAACGTTATTGACGGAACTGGAACCGGAAACGGAAGCGGAAGCGGAGCCAGTGACGGCAGCAGTGGAGCCGGAGGCGGAGGCGGAACTGGAACGGGAACCGTAAACTTAAACGGAAATGATAACGGCGGTGAAAACTCGGAATTAGCAAACGAAAACCAGAACGGAAACGGAAACGGAAATGGCGGCAGCGGCAGCGGAAGCGGCACCAATATAATGGGCATCATAACCCATGCGATTTTCAACGGTATCATCTATCTGCATGTGATCTATGCCGGCGAGGATTACTCCAAATGGATCACGCTGGACGAGGCGATGGCCTTCTGTCCCAGCGGCGTCGTGGCCTACACGACCCTCCAGATCTCCGAGGTGTACGATGTGCCCATGGAGCTGCTCTTTGATTAGGCCCTTCGCCCCACCTGCAACCGTCTTTTGTGAGGAGTGGAAAAGTGGATGAGCTTGGATATAGAGTGATATACATGTACAGCAGCTGCGGCTTTTGGCAATTGGCATTTGGCAAAATTGAAAAAAAAACGTTAAGTGGAGAAGAAGTCCCTCAGGAATATCCATTGGGTAAACCATTAGAAAATCTGCAAATGTTCGAACGATTTTCCACAAAAAAAAAAAAAAAAAAAAAAGAAATACTTAATGCCAAAATTTTGAGTTAGGATAATGCTGAAGGTATATTCTTCAGTCATATTCGAGAAATCCAAGATCCACGAACCAAAAACAAAAGACAAACACTACAAAAAATATTGATGTTGGCTTCGATGATGATGGAACTGAGAAAACTGGTTGAACTTTATGGTCTGTGGAGGATTTCCCATATTCATTGGCACCATCTCCCCGAAGATTATTCGTGAAACGCAATGCGCTTATCCAGACGATGTATCGAAAGCTATCAATATTTCATAAAAAAGTGTATTAAATCTTAAAAAAAGTCATTTTTCTGGAGAAGGTTTTGGGGGAAAATCGTATTTAATAATATACTTAATAATCTTTAGAAAACCAAGAAAACAAAGGCATAGACAAGTGTAGGGACTTCTATTTATTTCATTAACATTGTCACAGAATCCCACATAATTAAGTTAATATTTCAATGAGTGAAAGTAGGTTTTTGTCTTTTAATTTTCTCTCTTTACTCTATGTGGCATTTACTTTTTCATTTAATTCCATAAAAAAAACTCCTTTCGGTGTGGTAAATGTCATCCGCCCAAACTGTGGCGACTCACGTGCCCCTGTGGCATTTGTCAGCAGAGTTTTTACGAGGGGAATGGTCCTAGTTGGGGCGATGAAGATGAATGGACAGCGGCGGAAGTTTAAGGAGCCTTTGCCACGCAGCCAACACGGCGTATGCGTAATGCGGCCAGCCCACAGAATTTGGGCATTTCAATTGCAAATTAGCCAAGAGCCAACGTCAACGTTCGGATGAGGCCACGCCCCAGTGCCGCCCCTCCTGTGAAGTGTTCCCCCGGCCTATCTATCTGGGTATCCAGGACATTGGGTATATCCTTTTTTAGTTAAAGGAAACTGAAGTAATTAAAATTGAAGGATTACCCTTTTCCTATTCCTCTATTCTTTATATATATTATATTATATTATTATATATTATATTCCATTTTCCACACATATATCTACGATATATATTCTGTAATATATATTCCTCAATTTTAATTTATACAAATTCTTAGATATTTTATAATTATTTCCAAGCAAATCCCTTAGTTACCTTAACTTTTGCCATCTACTGGGTATCCCCTAGGTCGAGGCTTTCTGTCCAAGGCATTCTTTCTTGTTAGCCTTCGCCTCTCTCTCTCTCTCTCTCTCTCTGTGTGTGTGTGTGTGCGGCAATTTGAATGATTTATGTTGATTGCGTATAATTGCATGTTGTGTCCTTGTCCGCCTCTTTGTCCCCAGGTGCGTTAGCCGGCCACGTGACAAATCCCCGCCAGTTTGGCCCCTCGCCCCTCGCCCCTTGCCCCAGCAAGCTGCTCCTTCGCTTTTCCGCTTTTCCATTTCCACCTTTTTCCCGGCAAAGCCATCGCCTAACCTCAGACATTTTGCGGCGCATTGTTGTTGGAGTTGAGGTTGCTGCCGCTTTTATGACGCTCCATCTGTCAGCGGCTTGTTGTGACAACGTTCCTACAGGGGAGTTTGTCTTTTTTTGTGTTGTTTGGAAAATGCAGGAAAAGTGGAAAAGCAGGGGTGGGGAAGGGAGGGGACGGGGAGGGGACAGGGGCTAGACGACCGGCTGCTTATCTAATTACGCGCCCGAAAAGCACGCAACGCAAAAATGCCAACCGAAGTTGTCTTTTGCGGCACGACGCTTCATTTTTCTAATGCCAGCGGAAGGACGAGGGAAATGGTAGCCAGGATGGTGGGTCAGGATCTGGGTTTTAGATCTTAGTGTGCCTGTGTGTGTGTGCCTGTGTGTGTGTGCCTGACTTTTGCCAAATGGCAGAGGCGCGCGCGCATTTATTTCGCTTGTAAACGAGCGCAATTTGCAATTTGAGCGCGTCCGCTTCGCGTGTAGCTCTCCCCAACTTCCAAACTCCCTAACACCCCTCCATTTTGGACAGGAAAAAGGGGTGTGTGGGGTCGCCCCATTTGCAATTGAATATTTATTTGCATTAGCTCACCCCTCGCCTCGGGTGTGGCGCAACTTAAAAAATTATTACGCATACGCAGTGTTGTCTGGAGGCAGAAAAAACCTAACGAATAGCGAATCAAATCGGAAAATAAAAGAAAGGAAAAGAAAAGAGCAGCAGGAAATAAGGAAATAGGTGACCAAAAGGATTTGTTTTGTTTTGTTTTAATTATTAATTTGTTTTAAGGGATAGAACTAAACGTGATACACCTCATTTAGTGGGTGAATTTTTAAGGAAACTTCTCATTTTGTTAGCTCTTAACTATTCACTGATAGTTTAAGCCATTTTCCACTGATCTGGGCTCACTTAAACACGGAAACCTGGCCACACTAATAACATGCATAAGACCCAGTGAACCAGTGAAGGAAGCTAATAAAATGTACTTTATGCCGGAACGTGCATGGACTCTGAAAGCGTCCGAAAACGCGTCCTGACAGGCGAAATCCAGGGGAATGTGGTTAATGTTAGAGGGGGAGGGTAGCACAGGAAAATGTGGCTAAAAAAAAAGAAAGGGGGAAAAGCGAACATCCTTTGCCGTTCGTATCTATCCATCTCTCACTCACTCTCTCACTCACTCTCTTGTTTCGCTCGCATCACGCGGGTCCTGGCTGCCTAATTATAATTTTGCATTCTGCTGGCGCATGCAAAATTCATGAACGAGAGAATTCCATTCCATTTCAGTACATCTCTCGCTCGGTGCCGGGGCGATGTTAAACATAAAACTTGACAACATCCTCCGGATGCGTCGGTGTCCGTTTTCAGTTTTTTTGGTACCCTTTGAAGGGTATTAAATAAATTTCGGTTCAAAGTTTTGCAACGCACTGAAGGAGTCATCAACAGCAGAGTTTATAAAACAATGTGAATTTTAACTTGGCTTTTTATTCAACATGTTTTTATCTGCTTGGAGATATTATATTATATCATATAGCTATAGCTTTTAATTTAATCAAACTGAATTACTTAATAAGGTTTCAATTGTAAACTGCAGGGTATACAAACATCGGCAGGATAAAGTTTAGCTTTGTTTCTGGTTTCTTTTTTTTTTCTTTGCGGGAGGGCAGTGGTCCCGGGTCAGAGGTCGATCAAAGCGAACGCATCAACGTTAAGCGTTTTATGGCCAGAATGTGCGTTTCATTTTGGGCTCCACTGCTGCTCCTGCTGCTGCCAGGACTTTTTGCGCTGATTCGCACAAGTTCCAGTGGCAGTGCCACATCCGCATCCACATCCACTGCCGCTGACAGTGGCACTTCCACTTCCGTTGGCTGACTGCCCGTCTGCCCGCCCGACTGCCTGTTTTCTGCAAATGTTGCAAATCTTCGCGAAAAACTTGTCGTAAAAATATTTCCATCAGCCAAAATAAAGCAGGAGCGATGCGAACGAGCAGCGGATGAAGATGGAAGATGGCAGCAGACACGGAGGAGCTGGAGCTTGGAGCTTGGAGAAGCTGGCGGAGACCCGGAGGAGGAGCTGGTTTTCCGGGGAGGGGCTCAGATAAGCGCAGCATATAGCCCCGCCAACCTTCGCAATGAAGCAATGAAACTGGCAATAAACAAATGGCACAAATGGCAACGGATGTGCACAAAAAAAAGAGGAAACAAAATGTATGAAAAGCGCAGAAAAACACACACAAAATGAATGGCTAACAAAAGAACGAGAAAAGGAACTAATGGTACCCTCTAAATAAAACATAAATGTATATAAATTTGGTGATGTATAATCATATGTTAGTTTTAGGTCTATAAATAATTCGACAAATAAACATAAAGGTATATTTTGTGTGCAAAATATGTTTTAAGTTGTTGTCAATTCATTTAAAAGTGTTCTTTTTAGATTAATAATAAAGTATTAAGCAACTATCTTTATAAAAGCTTCAATTAAAATCTAATTAGGTGAAATTCACAAATATGTAATAACCCTTAACTAGATTTTAAATCCGTATTACGATTTACCCTTAAGGTTTTCTTTTGTTTAAATCGAATGCAAATTTTATGCGAAGATTACTCATACGCAGTGTTGTCTAGGTTGTTCTCAAGGCTTTTTCCTCTTGTTGTTGCTTGAAAATATTACAATTAGTATCATTTAAACCTTTTTAAATTTAAATTTCTCTTTAAAATTAAACTCTAACCAAGTTCTCCCTGATATCATGTTAGATTTCATAGCTATCGCTTATTCATTTGCCCCACGAAAGTAATTAAAGGTGTTTTTTGAACTTTAAGCTTTCATATTTTGTCAGACGGCATAAGTTTTCTTGGCTTTATGGAATCTGCAAAGTTTTTTGGGCAAAATTCTGGCTAAATTACCGAAACTACCGAGGGTATATAATGGAATGAGAGCATCGAGCTCCATCTCCAGCTCCAGCTCCAGCGGCGATGGAGCAAAATGCCACCGGAAGACGACGTCGCGGCGCCAAAAGCAGTGTCGTTGGCTCGAAGGGGGGAGGGATTTTAATGGGGGCTGGAAGGATGGGGGATGGGTGGAAATGGGGCCTGGGAATTACGGATTGGAGGTGATTTCGGTGACAAGGGGCCGGAGGAATGGTGGCGAATTTATGAAGCATAAGCTGCATAAACATTAAGATTACATAAACGTCGTCGGGAATCCTTTGGCAGGACAACGACACTCGGCCCGGCGCGATGAAGATGAAGAGGAGAAGACCCTCAGAGAGGAGAGGTGGGAGGTTTGGGAGGCTAAAAAAGGGAATAAAGAGGAAATAAGGCTTAAAGGGAAATGGGAGAGAGAAGGAGGGTCCTGCAAACAAGCGACGCTTGCAACATTTTAAGTGTCGATAATTTGGCAGCGGCAGGACTCGTACTCCGCACTTCGTACACTTCAAGGCGTGGCCCTGTTTAAGTCTCATGCATATGCATTAACGCAGACCAAAAATAAAGAGAGAAAAGTGGGAAAAATCGGGAAAAGCGTGAGGAGCGAAAGAGGAAGCGAAAATGTTCTCATTGCAACAAAGGCATTTGCATTTACATTTTTTGGTGCCACTGC